GGTGTGAATACTTAAATTGTTGATCTTAAAAGGAAGTCGATATTAATTGTTTGTCAAAAAGTGTAAAAAATTTAAATATGAATCATGTAATAATCATATTTAAATTTTTTACACTTTTTGACAAACAATTAATATCGACTTCCTTTTAAGATCAACAATTTAAGTATTCACACCCTGACATATAAAAACACACACATACAATCTCACATCTCTCGTTCAAGTGTTTACACGTGTTACAAAGGACACACCAGTTTCATTTAGTTAATTTTCGAAAGCCAATCGAACAACATCCAGAGAACAATATTATTTGTGTTTTCAAATAATAATTTTAAAAAAGACAAATTTTTTAGTAATTTTGATTTACAAAATCTAATTATTCGGCGGAAAATTAACTCACAAAATCATTTTTGTTAAAAAAGCTTGTTTAGTGAAAAAGTGCTAACAAATATTCAAACATACAGGTAATTAATTCAACTTTGTCATCAACCTTTTCTTAAAAAATTTCCATAACTTTCAAAAAATTTTTCTATTATGTTTAATATCCTGTTCTGATAATCCACTCATTTATTTTTATCATTTTTATTTTGAACATATTATCATATTTCTGTACATTATTATATTTTTTACAATTTAATTCATTATTTAAGAAAAATCTATTTTCTTTTCCTAAACATATTGTTTGCTAAAATCTCATCAAGATCATGTCTCTTGACAGATGTCCTGAAGATGGAACGTACCTAGTTCCGAAACGTCGACAATAAACAAATAATTAAATAAAGAAATTGTTTTTTTTAAAACTTTTCTTGTTTTTTATTTTGTATTATTTTTGGATTCTTGTTCGAAACTCTAGAAAATATACACAAATCCAAGACTCTACCATTCCATATATATATATATATATATATATATATATATATATAATATATATATATATATATATATATATATATATATATATATATATATATATCAGCCATAGACACTATCACTTTACCAGCGTAAAACACTTCCGTAACGAGGGTCCCAGCCCAGGTTTACCTACTAATATATTATATATTTTGTTTCGGTTGAGATTAGCTCAGTGGGTAGCAGCTCAGCTCTTGAATTCGACAAAAAAAACCTGTGTCGGGTTCAAGTCCCGATCAGGGCAAAAAAAAAAACAAAAATTTCTATTGTAAAATTTGCCTTGATCGGGAACCCACTAATATATATATTTGTGGCAAGGCCTTCTAGAAATCTAGGGGGCCTTGCTTTCAGCATCAATAAAGTATATCCGTTCACAGATGGCGCCAGGAATTTAGTAAACAACATTATAATTATCATCTTTGTACAGTTTATACTTATTTTTCTGTGAGTTTATAATAGTATTGACATCGTGCCGATAGATATGACTTTTAGCAATTATTCGAACCAATAACATACTGGCGCCATCCATATTTAGATAATATTACTACTTTTAACAATCATTCGAACCAATAATTTATCAAATTTCATCTGTGATAATCTTCAGTGATTAAACAATAATCTTGAATAATAGTTATTTTTTTAATTAAAGAATGAAACAGTGTTTGCTCAAAACTTTTTAACAGATACTCAAACCTATTCACTAGTACATTTAAAATATTATATTCTATGAAATACCTTTTACAATGGTTGAAGAGGAGGCACAGGATGAACTATAATATATCTGGAAGGCTTCGCTCACTGGAAGGAATTTGATGAATCATCATTCCAATTGTGCTATTAAATCATAACAGTGAAGTCTATGGATGCATTTTCATCACTTTCAACTGGAATATAAAATAAATTGCATTAAATTTTGTATCATATATTAAGTATTCATATGGTTTGTTCAATTTGAATAACTCTAGCATTATTTGCAATAATCGTTTATTTAAATCTTCAATAATATATAATAATGTATCTGCCTAATTTACTTTGTCTTCAACTGTTAGGTGTGATAAGTTGTATTTATGTTAATAAATAATGATTTTTTTTAACTATATTCATTAAGTAAGGTACTCAATTTGAATTGAGCAATTATCTTTATAATGCATTTTTTTTTATTGGGCTTTTTCACAATTTGCCAGAAGCTGTTCAAACGAACCTTATTCAAACTCATTTCAGAATATATTTGCATTCTATGAGATACCTGTTATTGTTACTGAGAACACAAAGGCAGCAATGAATTTAGAATGCATCACCCGCTACGAGGCATTTAATGAGCAACTGCTCCTCAAACACAGTCTTAGTAGAGTTTTAATAGTATTGTCAGATAAAATCAACTGCATTAAGTTCAGCACTTCATATCTATAGCAAAGTATGAGTTGGTACCATTGAATTTTATTAAGGATAATTACAGTATTAACATTTTTTATATCTTATATATAAAAATGGATCTCTCTTTCAAATGATTTTGTAAAACTCGAAAACGGATAGACCGATTTGGCCAGTCTTAGTCTTGAAAAATTCGTGCCAATCCAGAGAAGGTACAAAAGGTGAGAAATTATTTCAAATCCGCGTAGAAACTTTACATTTTTAATTTGAAAATTTTTCCCACACAATATTATTCAAATGACAGATGATTACTACTCATATGTCAAATGGTTTTGGCTAGTTGAAACAGGTTATATTCAGTGTTAGATAGTGTTCTTATTCTTTTAATTTTAAAATTTAATTATTATTGAAAATATATATTTTTTAAATGTTAATAAGAATGCTTATTTTGATTTCATATTAAGTTTTTAATTAATTCTTAAGTGACCATTGGTTTGCTCAGTGCGTTTTGTATTTCAAAAGCTGTGCTGTAAAAGTATTTATTGGTTTAATGTGAATAATGTGTCACCAAAACATTTTCTGAATTATATTATTATTATATATTATTGCATTTAGGTTATTCAAATTGAGATCCAAAATTTGGAATTCATCGAAGGGAACACCAAAGCAGTGCTGTCAATTTCATTACCCCATAGGCCCGTGAGGCCCGAGGGGCGGCAAATTTTTCAGAATGTCAAAAAAAATTTAAACCCGATAAAATGTCTCGATAATTTATTTCAAGGATTAATCTTGATTTTTTTTATAAATTTACAGATCGTTTTATATAAAATAGAATGTAAGTCGTAACGGGCGAGTGTAATCATTAACTATTAAAAATAACACAGACATCGTATAACAATAACATGTCTCTTGATGGCTATCCAGAAAGACTTTTTAAGTGTTTATTCATGATCTCAAATGCCGTTCAAGTTTAATTTATTACCGCAACGATTAATGATTCATCTGCTCTTATATCTAAACTAAACATATCCCAATAAAGAACCATTGTAATCGATTTTTATCGCCTAAAACAACAACTTTCAGTGCTCGGATTCGCCCGCTATGCGTGAACTGTGTTTGTCCGTGTTCAAGTCAGTGGTTTCCAACCATTTTTGCAATGCGCACCCCAATTTAATAATAAAAAAATGCGCTCTACAAATTGATATGCAACATTATGTAAAAATATACATAAAAAGTGAAAAAAATAATGAATTTTTATGTATATTTTTACATAATATTGCATATTAATTTGTAGTCTGATAATAGCAGTTAAATATTCAAATTTTTATGAAATGAAATTGTTAGAAAAATAAAAGAGGGCGCATTTTTTATTAGATTCGCAATCTAAATCGTTCGCGCATCGCAAAAATGGCTAGAATTTTCGAAACAGTACGTCACTCTTGGAAAAACCTCGCGCCCCGCTAAGGGTGCGCGAACCACAGGTTGGAAAGCACGGGGCTAAGTGGCTGAAATCAAATAATAACAAATGTATAAATCTAAGATCAAACTAGCTGTAAGTGGAATTCTGTCTTAAGGCAATTAAGGCATCGTGCCTTAAGGCAAATTGCTGGAACTTCCCGTACCAAAAATTATTTTTTTTTTAAAAAGATTAACATCTTTGAAAAAACTTTACATTGAAAAAATTAGATTTTTGAGAAACTATAAATTTGACAAAAAATTACTTTTTTTGAAAAAAAATTTTTTTTTTTTGAATACAAAATTTTTTTGGAAAAAAAAATGTTTTCTTCATTTTGACATTTTTTGGAAATTCTGAACTGTTTTTCAAAGCAATCGTACTGCTTTATCTGCATAGAGACGAAATGTCAAAGCGCGCAACTGCCGCGCCGCCGTCCAACGGATAAGCATTGGTACGGAACCCATAGAAATGTAAAAAAAAATATACTTATTGTTAAAATCTCTATAAAATATCTGATAATTTGATGTGCATATGTCTAATGATCATTTTTGACCGCCAAATGGCTCATTTTTTTAGTTTTTCCTCCATATCTCCGAAACCGCTAGACCTGCCTTCATGAAAATTTGATCAATTCTTCATCTAAACGGTTATCGTAAAACTCAAATAATTGCTGCGTTTTGTTTATTAACTTCCCGTAGGGCAAGTTATAGTAATCGCAAAAAAATCGAAAATGAAAATTTTTATATATCTTTACGTTTCAGAGGTTTCTGAACATTTTGGCATACCTTAGAAAAAATGGATGTATGTGTGTGTGTGTGTGTGTATGTATGTATGTACGTGTGTGTATGTATGTGCGGATACAAATTTTCGTCGACGATTTCGGGAACACGGATCAACCGATTTGAATAATTCAAAAAACATTCGATTTGTATTGATAAGGAGACGTGCTGATTAGTTTTTGGCAAAGGCAGGTCTAGCCGTTCCGAAGATACGGGGCAAAAAGTGCCGAAAATGGTAACTCAGTTTTTAAGAGAACGGAGCGTCCGATTTAAATAATTCAAAAAACATTTCACTTGTATTGACAAGATGAAGAATCGATAAAATTTTCAGGAAGGTAGGTCTAGCGGTTTTGGAAATATGGAGGAACTAGCTGTAAGTGGAACTCTGTCTTAAGGCAATTAGGGCATCGTGCCTTAAGGCAAATTGCGGGAACTTCCCGTACCAAAAATTATTATTTTTTTAAAAACGATTAACATTTTTGAAAAAAAATTACTTCGAAATAATTATTGAGAAACTAGGAATATGACAAAAAATTACTTTTTTTTGAAAAAAAAATTTTTATTTGAAAAAAAAAATTTTTTTTTGAAAGAAAAAATTTTTTTTTTGAAAACAAACTATTTTTTGAAAAGAAAAATGTTTTCTTCATTTTGACATATTTGGAAATTCTGAACTTTTTTTCAAAGCAATCGTAGTGCTTGAACTGCATAGAGACGAATTGTCACAGCGCAAGTGCCGCGCCGCCGTCTAACGCATAAACATTGGTACGGAACCCATAGAAATGTAAAAAAAAATTATACTTATTGTTAAAATTTCTATACAATATCTGATAATTTGATGTGCATATGTCTAATCATCATTTTTAACCGCCGAATGGCATTTTTTTTTACTTTTTTCATTAGATCTCCGAAACTGCTAGACCTGCCTTCATGAAAATTTTATCAACTCTTCATCTTGCCAATACAAGTAAAATGTTTTTTGAATTATTCAAATCGGACGCTCCGTTCTCTTAAAAACTGTTTTACCGTTTTCGGCACTTTTTGCCCCGTATCTTCGGAACGGCTAGACCTAACTTCGCCAAAAACTAATCAGCACGTCTCCTTATCAGTACGAATCGAATGTTTTTTGAATTATTCAAATCGGTTGATCCGTGTTCCCGAAATCGTCGACGAAAATTTGTATCCGCACATACATACACACACATACATACACACACACACACACACACACACACACACACATACATCCATTTTTTCTAAGGTATGCCAAAATGTTCAGAAACCTCTGAAACGTAAAGATATATAAAAATTTTCATTTTCGATTTTTTGCGATTACTATAACTTACCCTACGGGAAGTTAAAAAGTAAAAAAATGAGCCATTTGGCGGTCAAAAATGATCATTGGACATATGCACATCAAATTATCAAATATTTTATAGAGATTTTAACAATAAGTATACATTCTGTTAACATTCCTATGGGTTCCGTACCAATGCTTATGCGTTAGACAGCGACGCGGCGCTTACGCGCTTTATATTTTGTCCCTATGCAGATAAAGCAGTACGATTGCTTTGAAAAAAAGTTCAGATCTTCCACAATATGTCAAAATAAAGAAAAAAAATTTTTTTTCAAAAAAAAATTTTTTTCAAAAAAAAAAATATTTTTTTTTTTTTTTTTGAAATTTTTTTTTTATTAAAAAGTTATTTTTTGTCCAATTTATAGTTTCTCAAAAATCTTATTTTTTCAAAGTAATTTTTTTTCAAAAATCTTAATCGTTTTTAAAAAAATAATAATTTTTGGTACGGGAAGTTCCAGCAATTTGCCTTAAGGCACGATGCCTTAATTGGCTTAAGACAGAATTCCACTTACAGCTAGTTTACAATTACAATGAGTGGATACCGAAAAAAACTAAGTGGTGCAGAATATCGTAAAAGGAGAACAGAAGAATCTTTAAAACAAGAGTGTTTACTGAATAAAATTCCAACAATTTCTAATTTTATGAGAACTGTCACAAGTTCAAGAAAATTTGTAAGTGTTGATCAGTAAGCATTAGGTTCATCTGTTGTAAGTATTTTGATTACTTGTTAACTTCCCGTAGGGCAAGTTATAGTAATCGCAAAAAAATCGAAAATGAAAATTTTTATATATCTTTACGTTTCAGAGGTTACTGAACATTTTGGCATACCTTAGAAAAAATGGATGTATGTGTGTGTGTGTGTGTGTGTGTGTATGTGTGCGTGTGTGTGTGTGTATGTATGTATGTATGTGTGTGTATGTATGT